GCGTTTAAAAGTTAAAAGTGCCAATTAAAATTCGAATTGCATTTAAAAAGGTGGAGGTTCGCGCGAGTCTGGGGAAAGAGCTGTCGATACACCGCAGCAGCGTGGGCCAGTGTGTGCAGACGAGGCGACGGCAGGGAAGGCCGTGGGAAGTTCGTTTGAGGTTCTTTGCAATTCGACTAATTGTTTTGAAGGAAATAAACAAAATAAATTAAATTAATTGCGGCGGCGGGGCTCGCGGCGGGGCGAAAAGCGAGAAGTTGAATGGGTGCGGCTCGGGCGCTGTCACTCCTGTCTGTGTCGAGTGCGCAACGACGGGCGATTCAGCTTTCCGTTTGCCATTACGGATTTATTCTGGAGATTAAGTTAATTTTGAAAGCCTGAAAAGTGCGTTTTGATTTCAAAAGAGGCGCGGAGCTGTACGTACACCCCACAGCAGCGCAACTCGATCTAGCCTCTGACGCCGCGGCGGTCAGTGTCGCGGCGGCGTTGGTGTCAGGGCTTTGGACTTTGGCGGATCTTTCTTCATTTTTTGCAATTCTGGATGTGTTTTTCCGTTTAGTTTTGATTTTTAGCGTCAAGTTGATCCATTTTGGCTCCCCAGGCCCGCAAACCGCGCCCGGAGCCTCGCGATCGACGCCGCGGAACACCACCGCGCCTCGAGTCACGCCGCCCGATCCGCCCCTTTCGAGCCCCTCCCAGACCCCAACTTCGCCTTCAAATACTTTCAAACAACTAATTTAAAATAAAAATATGGAGCAGCAGTTGAGTTGTGGGCCGCGCGAGCTCGTTTTCCGTGTTTTGCAAGTCCGCAGCGCCGGCCCGCCTCTCTGCTGCTCCCGCTGCTGCGCAGCCGCCACGGACTCTTTTCCTTTCTTCTGCAGCTTTCTTTTCAATTAGGAATTCCTTTTCTTCTTTTTAATTTCTTTTTTGCTGCTGCAGCAGCAGCAGCAAACAGCCGCAGGCCCCGCGCCTTCGCGCCTCCGCCCCTCTCCATGTGTACAGACAGCCCAGCGCCCAGCAACAGCTCCAGCGGCCCTCCGCGATCTTTGCTGCCGCTGCTGCTGCTCCACCTGCCCTAGCTGCTGCTGCTGCTGCAGCTGCTGCTGCTGCTGCTGCTGCTCCCCTGCCTTTGGGGCTCCACAGTTCTCCTGCCCTCTCACCCGCCCCGGGTGAACCTACAGCAGGCAGCCACCATGGAGCCGCCAGAAAAGGCGGCTGCAGTGCAGCAGCAGCAGCAGCAGCAGCCTGAAGCTTCCCCTGCTGCTGCAGCAGCAGCTGCCGCTGCTGCTGCAGCACCTGCTGGGGCCCCCGAGGTCCCTGCCGGCCTCCAGTGCCGCAAAAGACAGCGCGAGTGAGCAACGCCGCAGCTCTTTTAGGTGTGTTGCAGCTGCAGCAACAGCAGCAGCAGCAGCAGCGCGATTGCTGCTGCAGTTGCTGCAGCAAACTGCACTTCTTGCTCCATTCTCGGTGCTGCATGTCCTGCTGCAGGTCGCAGCAAACTCCTTTCCCCCCGGAGCTGCCGAGCAGCGCGCCCGTGCAGCAGCGGACCCCTGGCGATTCCCCCGCTGCTGCTGCTGTTGCTGCTGCTGCTGCTGCTGCTGCTGCTGCAGGGCGCGGGGACCTGCTGCTGCAGGCAGCTGCGCTGCCGCTGCAGAATCCAGAAAGCCTCTGGGCGTTATTTGCGGCGGAAATGGAAAAGCAGAGAATTAAAAATAAAAATAATTCCAATGAGACTTGTGAGCAGCAACTAGAAATACATATAAATATAAATATGAATATAAATATAAATATAAATATAAATATAAATATAAATATAAATATAAATATAAATATAAATATAAATATAAATATAAATATAAATATAAATATGAATGTAAGGTTCTTTTATTTTGAGTAAATATAGAGAGGTAATATAAAAGGAGACTTAAAAGTAAAAATGAAAATAAATGCATTTGGGCTGCTGCAGAATTTGTTTCAAATTATTTATTTTTATTTATTATTATTTTATAATTGTATTAATCCATTTCTAGTGAAACCATCAAAACTCAAAAAAGAATTATTTGAATAAATAAAAATAAAAAGAAATAAAGAATGAAATTCGAAAATGAATTACTTGAATAGCTGGGGTGTACGTACACCTGCCGCAGCGCGCGCAGGCGAAACGGACTTGAACAGCAGCGGATATTTCATTTAAAATTAAAATTCTCTTTTATTTTTATTATTTTTAATTTATAAATTAATTATAAATAAAATAAAAAGAATTGAAAAGCAGCAGCGCCAGAAGGCACACACGCAGCAGCAGCTCATAAACAAAACAAATGAAGCAAAACAAACATCAAATTAATGAATAATCATTTAAAATAAAAAAAAATAAATAAATCAATAAATACAATAAATAAATAAATAAATAAATAAATAAACATCACAAAGTGCCGCTGCAAACGAAGGCAAATGCCCTCGGCATTTAAGGAGGAAATAAAAAAGAGATTTATTCATTTTGGCAAATATAAAAACAATTTTAAAATGAAATACTTTTAATTAATTTTAAAGTGTAATACTTCTATTTTATTTAAAATTAAATGGTTTCATTTGATATAGAAATGAAATACTTTAATTTGTTTTAAAACGAAATACTTTAATTTGCTTTAGAACAAAATACTTTTATCTTGTTTTAAATTAAAATATTTTTTATTTTTTATTTCAAATTTGTCTTTTGAATTTCTTTGCTGCTTCCGTGCGAACAGGGCCGCTGCCTGTCATCGCCCTAAACGGCGTTGCAGCTGCTGCAGCACAGCAGCAGCAGCAGCAGCAGCAGCAGCAGCAAGTGTCTCCACCGCCTCCGCCACAGCAGCAACAGCAGCAAGGACAGCATTCGCAGCAAAAACAGACTCCGCAGCAGCAGCAGCAGCAGCAGCAGCGGGTGGCGAGCTGTGAGAGCAGCAGCTCTGGCAAGGGCCAGTGGACCACTGGTCACGGGGGCGAAGCTGCTGAGGCGGGGAGAGCAGCAAAAGGCTCCCCAGCCCCTGAGGGGTTACAATCGGTTTCCGTGCAGCAGCTTCCGCAGCCACCTGCTGCTGCTGCTGCTGCTGCAACAGAAGAAGCTGCAGCAGCAGCAGCAGATGGCACGGCTTCGCAGAAGGAAAATCAGCTGGACAGCAGCAGGGCCGCTGGAAGCGCGGAAGACAGCTGTGACTGCAAAATAAAGGGGGAGCCGCTTCAGCAGCAGCAGCAGCAGCAGCAGCAGCAGCAGCAGCAGTCGCAGCAGCAGGACGCGCTTGGGGCCGTGCGAGTCGGGTGCCGGGTCGAGCGGGAGTCGCAGCGAGGGCCGAGGAGACACAAGACGGACCAAGCAGCAGCAGCAGCAGGAGCAGCAGCAGCAGGAGCAGCAGCAGCAGCAGGGGGAGGGGCGTGTGAGTGGGAGTCTCTGTTTCGACTAGCGCCCGAGGAGCCGGGGAAGGAAGCAGCAGCAGCAGCAGCAGCAGCAGCAGCAGCGCCGCAAGTGGGGGAAGAGCTGCAGCTGCTGAAGAACGTGGTGCTGATATGTCTGGCGGACCTGCGGGACTGCTGCATCCCCGCGGTGTACGTACACCTGGGGACGCAGCAGCAGCAGCGGCGGCGGCTGCAGCAGCACCTGCTGCACGTGCAGCAGCTGCTGCTGCTGCAGCAGCTAAAACCCTACTTGCATCTTTTTGAAGTTTCTCTTGCTGCTAATTTGCTGCCGCATAACTTAAGTGCTGTTTGCCAGCGGCTGCTCTTCAGCGCGCTGGACATGTTGGCCCGCGCCGGCGAGGCGCTTTACTTTCCCACTTATTTCGAGGCTTAGTGGCGCGTTTTGTTTCTTTTTTCTGCTTTTTTTTTCTTTTTTTCTTTTCGTTTTGTTCCACTTCGTTTTCTTTCACTTTCGCTCTTTTGTTTTCCTTTTTTCCGCAAAAAAAGCTCCAAAAACGCTCCAGTTTGACCCCAAATTTGCACTTTTGCAAAATCCGGAATCCGGAAGTCTAGATGACCCCTACGCACACTTGGTCGCTTTTTCATCCGTCTATTTCCACTACTTATTTAAGTGTTGCTGCTGCTGTTGCTGCTGCTGCTGCAGCTGCTGCTGCTGCTGCTGCTGTTGTTGTTGTTGCTTTGCAGTTTTTGTTTGCTGCTTCTGGTCGCTCTGCTGCTGCTGCTACTGCTGCTGCTGCTGCTGTTGGGCTGCAACTTTCGTTTGCTGCCGCTTTCCGCTCTGCTGCTGCTGCTGCGGCTGGTACTGCTGCTGCTGCTGCTACTGCTGCTGCTGTGTTGCTTTATTTCTTTTTTGCTTCACAAGTTTGTTTGTTTTCTAATTGGCTTTTAAATAGTTTTATTTTAATTTAAAATTCATTTCCTTTTTGCTGCTGCTCCTCGCCGGTCAAGCAGCAGCGGCGAGCTGTCTGTACACCTGACGGCAGCTGCCAGAAACGAAAAAGTGGAATTAAAAATCATTTTATATCTAATTTTTTTAGATTTGATAATTTATTTTCTATTTCTAAATATTTAATTCAATTAAAAGAAGCGGCTTTGAAGGCTGTTGGCACGAATTAGAAAAAAACACTTTCCGGTTCTTGCTGCTGTTGCCGTTGCTGCTGCTGCTGCTGTTGCTGCTGCTGTTGCTGCTGCCGTTGCTGCTGCTTGGCTTGTTTAGATTT